GTGAACAGTAAACAGCCATCAGGTGCTAATGATCCATTGTTAGGCTGATGGTCCTTCTTGAGCATGTGAGCAGCTGGTTCTGGTTGTCAGCAGCAAACTGGTTGATCCTCTCTGAGAAGGTGCTATTTAAGAGACTGAGCTGAATACAGCACCTCAGACTGAGGAAGTCTCTTGGATGAGAGACGAAACGTTTCTTTTTGCTTTGTTTTGTTTTTGTTTTGTTTTTTTAACGTCCAGAGGACCAGATTGAACTTTTTTGGAAATTTGGGGTTTGTTTCCTCTAAATAATTTAAATGAGCTTTAGATTTACACCTGAGGATGAGAAGCTTTTATTATTTTACAGTCGGTGAACAGAAAAAGCTGACCTTTAAAAATCATTGCACCATTAAATCCATCACTATTTAACTTTTTTTTATTTAAATTAGTTATATTCATCTTAAGGCCTTAAATATGCCCTCCACTGTTTTTTAAAGGTTACATTTTTAGCTTTAAAATTAAACGTTCATTTTAAATTCATGTGATGCATAAAGGCAACAAACTTTAATCCCCTGGATTACAGGATTTGTCAGTGTTAAAGTAGAAAATATGAAAAACAGATGCTCCAAATTAATAAATCCACTAAAAATAAAAAAAAAGAACAAAGTGGTATTTGGGGATGTGTCCGAAAAACTGCTGGTAAAGATAAAAACCCAAACCTGTGACCAAGTCCCTGAACCTCCTGGACAGAAGGACGCAACGTCAAGCTGAATTATCTTTATCACGAGAAAAACAATAAACAAATAAAAACATGTGATCTGTGACAGCTCGAGTGTGTGCTGGGAATGACTCTCAACCACTACCACCCCAGCATTAAGCTCAACATAAAACTGACTACGTTGTAGCCGTTTCTGTGTTTGCCAACATCCTGTTGCTGTGGCGGCCATCTTGAAATGTAAAAGTAAATGATAAATGTGCTGTAGCCTCATTTACCTCCACACATACAGGACTCTACTCCATCTTTACAAAGAATAATCAGAGCTTTATCACAGTCAAACACCGATGGGACACAGAGGAAATGAGGGGTTCAGTGTCTTGCCCAGGGACACTTCAGCATGTGACGGCTGGTGGAATTGAACCCCCAACTCTCCCATTGGAGGACAACTGCCACGGCCGCCCCAAGTGAATCAGTTCTGGTCATTTACTGTAGATGTTACCACGGAAGTATGATGTCATGTTTTATTATTATTTAATCGAATTTATGATTACTAAATTATTCAAAAGTTAAATTCTGAACTCTTGCTCTCTCCACCCCCCATGAGATCAAATCGAAGAGGCGATCAAGCTCAAATCCGACACATTGAACAAAGAAGTTGCTACAAGTATATAATCCTGTTCCTCATATAAACCAACTAAAAGCTCAAAGTGAGAAATGTTCATCTCAGCCTCGTTTTTCTTCTTCATGTCTTCGTGGAATGATGATCTGACCACCTGTAGACCGTAGCGTCGGACCAGCGTGCGGTTAAATTAAGAGCAGACCTGTTTTCTGAACTCCTCCAACACCTCTCTGACCGCACGGCTCCGTCTGAGCAGTTTCTGAGAACAGCTGGACGCGTTTGTGCGCATCTTAAATCCTCCATCATGTTCCGTGTCTGCACCCACAGGTTTGTTTCAGGGTGGAATTATCTAACTTTAATGACTTCTTATCACTTTGCATGACACTAATGACACATGCTGGGTCTTTTTTTTTTTGTATCTGGACGTCTTGAAAAAGACTCAGCCCACCTGGGAACACTACTCTGTCCTTTATCTGGTTTTAAATCTGAGCTAAATCCTTTCTGATTGGGCCAAACACATGCAACACGTTAAAATCTTCAGAGGACTTTTTGAATTTATCTCCGTCCTGCTGAGTACAATCCCTCCCTCTTTTCTAAGTAAGTATGATTGAAGTCCACCATCATTTGATGGGATCGATTCTCTGCCGTCCACCTGCAACATCTGCAGCTACCGTTGCTTTTTCAGGCACCGAGGCAACATCTGGTTTCAGTGCTGCCGTTTTATGTCGGACTGTTGGTGCACACCTTAACCAGCCCCAGAAAAGTCTCTTTTTTCAAATCTGACAAATGTAATGATGATTACCACGATATGCGGGGCCCCTTTTGGCCCGGACCGTGGATTTTCCATCAGTGACTGCATGGAAAAAGTTTGGTGATTGATTTTATGAATGAGGTCACTCATCAGCAACCAGTAACTAAAGAAAGTGTATCGTCAGGTCTTTTTATGGCTCAGCTGGCATGAATCTACGTTAAACCCTCTCGGTGTTTTTACCAAAGATCTGAAGGAAAAGTTCATCCTCTTTTTCAGTCACCACTCTGAAATATGGTTATTTTTTATCCTCAGTCATTTGCTTTAATCTATGATCCATTCTACCTGCGAGAAAAGAAAAACATGCACACGGTTTCTGTAAATCAGAATTTTAGGTGGAATGGAGAGGGTTTATGACTCCTCCAGTGATTTCTGGGTCTGCCCCAGTGGGACATGCCTGGAAAACCTCCAGGAGGCATTTCAATCAGATGTCTGGACCACCTCAGCTGACTCCTTTTGATGAGGAGGAGCAGCAGCTCCGAGCTCCTCCAGATGATGGAGCTCCTCACCTTTTTCAAAGCCGAGCCCGACCACCCTGTGGAGGAAGCTCAGTTCATCCAGGATCTGGTTCTTTTGGCAGTGATCCACACCTCATGAGCACAGGTGAAGGTGGAGTGTAGATGGACAGGTAAATTAAGAGCTTCAGCTTTAAGCCTAAACCATCATTACAACGGACAAAATCTGTTAATCCGTCTTCCCTTGTGGGCAGGAGTCCAAGACGGCTAAACTCCTCCGACACAAAGGTTAACCTCAAACAGGAGGAAGCCCTCCATTTTTCTCTGGTTAGGAAACTTATTTCCTAATTTGCTGATTCATGAAGCACGTCAGTGCATTCTGAATATTGTGGCCTAAGAATTCCAAAAGATTGGATAATCTGCAAAACGCAAAGATGAGACCCTGGGGATTACGATCCAAATGCCTCTTCTTCAGGCCTGAATCCCCGTCCATGAAGACCACATATAGCATCAGAGACATCGGCAGTCCTGACAGACTCCAACCCACACCAGGAACAAGCTCAACTTTGTGCCGAGGTTGGGGACCAAGCTCTTGATTTGTGCTCAACGAAGTCTACGGGTCCCTAAATGTAATCCCAGTGTCCCACACTTCCTGAACGCCCCAACCTACATAAAATGCCTCAAGAAACACACGAGTAAGCCTTCCCAGATCCACAGAAAATATTGGAACTGGAGAATCAAACATCCATGACCCCTCAGCAACTTTACAAGGGTGAAGATCTGGTCCACGGCTTTAGGTAAAGTACAATGTTCTCAATGTCTCCCCAGCTTTATATGGAGGAATCTTGGGATCTGATGCCTCCTATCTTGTACTACCAGATGTATTATCTGAGTCTGTACAATCTGAGGGCTCTGGCTCATTATTGCAACAACAAGTTGGTGTTGGCAAGTTACCTCTGTGGCTGCTTGGAGTCGACGCTTGAAGTCCTCCTCTTTCAGCTGCTGTCGTCAGAGGCGAGTGTTGAAGAGTCTGTCATGTTCCTGTAACACAGCTTCTTCTCTTGTCTCTTGTGCTGCCAAAAAATCTTTCATCAGAACCAACATTCCACCATCAAACACTTGGTTGTGCCACGCCCTGACTGGGATCGACTTCCTCCTCTGATGAGTGCTGGTTTCACCTGGTGGGCGTACTGGTGCCTCTGCTGCTGATGATTACTCATCCAAGGTTTCTGCTGCAGAATCTGAAGATGACTTCGCCCTATTCGCACGGGATTAATTTTACCTAGAGACCACACGTAATAAATAAATTACTCCCCAACGTCTGCTTTTTATGTGGCGCATTCGCACGGGATAACCAAAACCTGAGATTTAGCTGAAATTTACGGACATCTTCTGGATATGATGTTACCGCGCTGCGTTGTCACGACCGGGCCGGTCCATATAATGTGCTTAATGTGTGGGCCGGGCCGACCTCAGGCTTTGATGTGGTTTTATGAATCAGCACTAATGAAAACTAAAGAATGCATAATATAAAATTGTGTTAATCTACTTGTTAAGGAGGAGGCAGGTCCGACCGGCCGGTTTAAGAGGTAAAAAAAAAAAGCCACGTTAAGCTCAGATGGACCGGCCACATGTGTCCGCTGACCCGTTGGTTGAAATGGACTTGCTACATGTCCAGAGTGTCCCCCGTCTCTCGTACAGTGATGGCTGGACATGGGCACCGGCGACCCCCGTGACCCAAATTGGAAGAAGCGGGTAAAGAAAATGAATGGATGGAAGAACTAAAAACAAAAACCGCCTATAATACGTATCGGATCCCGCACTTTTCTATCCAAATCACAGAGACGCCTATTCGGACCTCGTAGTTCAGCTAAATATATTCTGCTGTAGCGTCTGCCGACACTACTTGCAGTTGTAAGCATAATCCAGTCTTCTGTCTGGGAGGATGAGCCTTTTTTTTTTAACAACTTGCCATCCCACTCCTGACACCAACTCTCATGGGGTTCTTTTCCACACAAACATTCCTTGAATCTGAATGAAAGTTCTCCAAACAGATCCACCAGCAAGTCAAATCTTCAGACTGTCCCAGTACTTGTTTTCTCTTCCACAGGGTGTAAAACTTGCTTTCTATGTAAGTTTGATAATTATCCACCACTTCTTACCTTCTCTGAAACCATTTCACACATTCTCTCTCTGCCTCCTCAGCGTCGGGCACCAACTCTTCATCTAAAGCTCCTCCCACTAAACGCAACATTACTTTCAAGTTAAGATCACTCAGTTTAACCACAATTTAAACAAATACAATTTTAACAGATCGGTTCATTCTCACCCACAAATCCTAATTAATCCAACAATAATAATAATACACAAAATCATTTAAAGTCACATGATCGTGGAAACATCTTTAGTGAAAATCAGTTGTAACACCTGCTTTTGCTGTGCAACGAGGGAAGCGGCCGTCATTCCACCCAACGCACCAGCAACAGGTGCAAATAAAGTTTTTAATGTACGTTTCCTGAACTGAGCGGGGAGAGAGGATTGACGAGACGGGTTAACCCCGACAGCCTTGCAACAACTAACCACCTCGTTAACCTTTGACCTCCAAGTCTTTGGACTCTGCCTCCTCAGCGGTGACCAGGGTGAACAGATGAAATCCTCAAACTGTTCACTCCACCGCTCAGTCATGGACTATTAACGTTTTGTTCAATGACATTAGTCTGCAGTGAACTAAACGAGGTAAAATCCTGCTCACAAATAAAATATCTGAGCAATTAACCATGTTTAGGCTGGTTGTATAATCTGTTGTCTGAAATGTTCAGCTTCTTGTTTGGGTCTAAATGTTTAGGGGATTTACTCAATTTAATTTATTTCTAATGAAAACACTTTGAATTTGCATTTCAAATGTTTAATGTTCTTATATTATGGACGGTGTTCTACCTGATAACACGTGTATCTTCGTTTAAAACCGTATTTTTCCCTCATTCATCAGTCGCTGTCCTCTCTTCCTGTCCAGAGGACTGTCCCCCGGCCTCCATGGGAGAATGGAGCGAGTGGAGCGTCTGCGCCCGTGAAGGCACCACCTGTGGGTTCAGATGGGGAAAGCAGACCAGGGTCAGAGAGGGCCTCCAGCCAGATGAAAAAGGCTCCTCACTCTGCCCGGCGCACAATGAGACGCAAAGATGCAGGATGAAGAAAAAATGTCCCACAGGTGAGGTGGAAAGAGGCGGGGCTTCTTACAGGTTCTGACAGTAGATGCAGTAAGAAGCTTGATGAGCTGGATCTGACCAGAACTTTTACTGGTTTGTTTCTTGTGCCGGACTGAAAACATCTGTAATTAGTCTTCTTATGTTTTGTGTTGAGCTGACACTTGTCCAATTAGTAAAGCCAAGTCAGAAAGATTGGACCTTTAAAAAAAACTTTCCAACATGTGAAACTTCTTAAACACAATTAGACTTTTAGTGTTTTCCCTCCGTCAGGAGAGTTACTGTGTCGCGATGCAGGACAGAACGAACAAACTGCACAAACTCTGCTCGTTCACCACTTAAACTGACGTTTGAGACATTTTGTAACTTTGTGACCGACGTGTTGTGCAACCGCTCAGAATATTTGCTCATTTCCAACAGGAATGAAAAAGCTTTGAGCCAGGCTCTCCCAGACTTCTCCAGCTGGTCTTTATTAGGACTGCCTTTCAAGCAAATATAAAAATATTCTAGAAACTACACAAAAATAAGCCTCATTTTTCACAGGCAGCGTTGTAAAACTTAGAAAACATATTTTATATTAGCTTATCTTAAGAGAAATCTGGGTTTGTTCCCAATAATTACCATTACTAATCAACACGTCATAGTAAATCATCCGAACGCTCTTATTTTGAAGTATTTTGTGTTTCGGGCATAAAGAAAATTGGCGTTCAAGAGGTTTCTCTTGTAAGGCATTAGCACATTTGCTGTTATATTTATAGCGCTGCCAGATGTTTCCGTCTTTTGAACGTGGGACTTTCGAGACTGACAGGATGGAGGCTTTTGATGTTTCCCATAAATCTTAGCTTTCTGTCACAGCCACCACTGCTGCCAGCAGGAGACAAAAATGTAGGATTTCTCACATTCTTTGGACTGGTTTTTATTTAATTCACTTTAACACCGACTGGGGTTGCAAACGAAATGAGCTGTTTATGACAACATGGAGCTGGATGACAAATTATGAACAAAAAAGCAACTTCTAAAACGTAGACGGTTGTTGGTGATAAATAAATGGCAACCAGCGTTTTGCTTCTACATTTCTAAGTGAAAAAGCGGGTAATCATGTATTTTTTTTCTGTTGTCTGTTTTAATTCAAAATATCATGGAACAAAGTTCACCATCCATTATCTCATCTATCCATTATCTTTACCCGTTAATTCCATTTTGGGTCACGGGGGTCGCTGGTGCCCATGTCCAGCAGTCACTGTGCGAGGGGCGGGGTACACCCTGGACGGGTCTCCAGTCCATCACAGGGACACATAGAGACAAACGAAACAAACAAACATTCACTCTCTCACTCACACCTAGGGACAATTTTAGAGTTACCAATCAGTCTAACATGCATGTTTTTGGTCAGTGGGAGGAAACCGGAGCACCCGGAGAAAACCCACGCATGCACGGAGAGAACATGCAAACTCCACCCAGAAAGGCCCCTGGACCGGGGTTTGAACCAGGGACCTTCTCGCTGAGAGGCAGCAGCTCTACCAGTTGCGCCACCGTGCTGCCCGAACAAAGTTCACATTTTATTGAAACTCTCAAACTAATCTTTGGATAAAAAACAAAAAGGTTTGGAGTCAACCTGATTCAAGATGGCTGCCACAGACAATGCTCGCCTTTCAAAGCAGATGGCAACAACAGGATCTTGATGCTTAGACAGAAGCAGTTTTTATGTTTAGTTACAGTTTGCTTTAGTTCTTAAACAGAAGCCCCGCCCCCTCCTGAAAGGCTCTGCTCTGATTGGTCATCTTCTCCAACTTGCTCAGGCACCGCCCACCATCCTTCTGCTTATTTTAATTATTAAACCTAAAATTAGGCTGCACACGTGACTGCAGGATTTTTTAGTTTTCTTTTTTAACTGAACAATAATATATTTTCTCTTTTAATGCTGCTTTAGCTTTCAGACTAGCCTCTTTTTTTAGCTGTTAGCTACAAGTTAAAAGCTACGAACACTATATTTTCACACCATTAACTTTTAAGCTACCATTCTTCTACTTTTAGTATATTTTTTATGCTTTTAACTAGTCTTTTGCTACATTTTACTTTCGGCAACTAATTAGCTCATTTTAACTGCCCTTTGCTCCTTTAGCATTTAGCTATCCCCTTACTGTTTTTAGATCGTAGATAGCCAACAGCTACCATTCTTCTGTTTTTAGCTACGGTTTTGTTCCTTTTAGCCTGTCATCTCTAGCTACCATTTTGCTTTTCAACCTTTTGGCTACTGTGTAGCTATTAGCAATCCATTTACTATTTTTATCTTTAAGTTTCTCTTTGTCACGAGCAGGTTGTGGATTCTTAATAAGCCAGACACAGGAGTGCAAAAAACAAAAACGGTCTTTATTAATTTGGCTGCTGGAGTCAGGGTCCAAGGCAGGAGTCCAGTTTTAGCTTCCCTCCACTGGCTCCCTGTCGAGCCCAGAATAGAATTCAAAATCTTACTTCTAACCTACAAAGCCCTCAACAGCCTAGCTCGATCTTATATTACAGATCTTATCAGTCCATATTTTCCTAACAGAGCACTTTGTTCTCAGATTACAGGCTTACTCGCAGTTCCCAGAGTTTCCAGCAGCAGAATGGGAGGAAGATCTTCCAGTTCTCAGGCTCCTCTCTTGTGGAACCAACTTCCAGTTTCTGTCCATGAGGCTGACACATTGTCCAGTTTTAACTTTCCTTTTTGATAAATCCTATAGTTAGGGTTGGCTTGTTATGCTGCTATAGACTTGGACTACTAGAGGACAAACTGACCTCAGTTCCTTAAATGAATTGTTAAAATTGAATAGTTTTCATTTGATACTATTTCTATCTTAACATGTGATTCTTGACCTGCCATTGTGTATCTGTTCTTACCAAACCCAGCTGGTCAAAGCAGATGGTCCTCTTGTCCTGAGCTGGTTCTGCTAAAGGTTTCTTCCTCATGAGGGAGTTGTTTATTTCCACTGTCGCCTTCATGCTTGCTCAAGATGAGAGTTCAGTGATGGAGTTAAACTCAAAGCTCCTCAGATAAATAATGTTCAATTATTATTTTATACATGAATGTTTCTGCTCAGTCCCTGAGACGACTTCTGTTGTGACTTGGAGCTTTAGAAAAAAACTGAATTGAAATTAAAAGACAGAGGAGGTTGGTGACTGAGGCGAGGAGATTCTGTGGTTACAGTAAAAGTCACCAACCTTCTCAGTCTGTACGTGGCCGGTGCTGTCGTGCTGACGCCAGAGACGTTGCTCGTGAAGAGTGAGCTGCAGCAGCGGAGCAGGCTGAAGCTGGTCGTGGTCGGGGGGGTGGGGGATCCAGATTCATGGGCCACTCACTAGTCGTAGCAGAGGTCAAGCACGGGGAAGCTGAGAGCAGAGGCCAGAGCCAATTTGTGATCTGTAGGTGAAGTCATCGAATGAGAAAGGCAGGATCAAATATCGTGGTCAGAGCAAAGAGTCCAAATCCAAAGAGGGGCAGGCAAGTTGAAGAATCTGTGGTACAGACGAGGGGTCAGGTCAAGGCAAGGATACAAGGCATGAAACAACTAGGCTTCACTATCAGGGACCAGGAGAGGTATAATAATTCAGCAGAGACAGAAAGTTCATGGAGCTTAAATAGAGAGCTGAACAGGTGCATGGAATGAAGGCTGATTGCTGTGGAGGAGACAGGGAGGCGTGGCATGGCTTGGGGGGAGCAGGCTTGAGCTGAAGATGGGTGACAGGCAAAACAAAGCAGGGAAACAGAAACAAGACAGTGTAGCAGAAACCTGGCATGAGGGGCTGAGAGAAACGGAGCAGAGCTGACGTTGAAGGGGGAAACAAAGCATAAGGAAAATGGGCTCATGGAAATGAGAATCCTGAACTATGGCAGGAGGGAGAAAGTGTCATGGGCAGGAACGTGGCATGAAGAGCAGAGACGTGAGCAGATGGCGGGGGGGCAACTGACTATCACACTTTTGCTGCTTTCAGCTACTTTTAGCTTGCAGTTTTAATGTCAGGTTTCAAAATAAAGGTCTAGACTTCCTTGACAGAATGAATATCGCCCTGAGTTTAATCTGAGATCATTTTAATCCGTAAAGGATGTAGTTCCATCTGCGGCGTTCATATTTCAGCAGAAATTAAATTATTGTCTCATCTGTAAATAGAGACAATAAAAAATCTGTTTGCGAAAAATATATTTTTATTTTCTCCCGTGGATGAACAAACGCTGCCAAACCAGACAAAGGTCACGAGGTGGATGTAACTAAACACGCCGACTCTTCGCTTTGGAGAAGCACGGCAGCGATTCATTCGTTTCAGCTGGGAACTGTTATTTAAACCCAGCTGATGCAGAAAAGCTTCTCGCTCTTAGGAAAACTCATCCTGTTTTACTGGGAAAGATGCTTCAGAAGAGACGAACCATTGTTCTGCTTCAAGCAAACAAAACAAACTGAGCCATGTCTGATTTAAACCTGAACGATTGGAGTGAACTAGCATCATCATCATCATCATTAGACATGCAGGGCGACCGGTGATATGCATTCATGGAAAAAATAAAATTAAAATAAAAAGCTAGTTTATTTTATGAATAAACTTCATTGAGCGGGGCGACGACTGTTCTGTTTTCAGTTACATTGATTGTAAAATGATATGAAGAGGATGACATCAGAAGTTGATTCCCACGCTCCAGTAAAACAATCCACTTCAAAATGCTCAGACTGTCCCTTTAATGGTGAATTTGACTTTGCTTTGCAGTTAAGTCGCCCCCGTTCAAGGATTTGTGAAGTTCTGGATGTGGTCCTTTTCATTCAGTGTGTAATATCACTAATGCTGTGACTGTGGCTCGTTCACCAGCGATCTAAATTCAGTGTAACGCGCTTTTGGTCCGTCTCAACCACTGCTTTCCTCAGAAACAACATCTGGAACCGCCATTCCTCCAGACTGTTCTCGTGGCTCCATGATGGTGCAGAGGACATCCCTTAGAATAACCTCCAACGTCATGACGTGCTGCACCTCAGTACCT